GTTTTTCTTGGAATGATCGCTTTTCCTTACGTAAACACACAAAATTAAAATGTAGCATTATTTGTTTTATGATGAGAATAATTAATAAAATGAAATTTGTTAAATTGAAATAAACTTATCAGGCAGCTACATTTTTAGATATGAATGTGTTCCATATATCAAATAACGTTACACAGCTCTTTGAGAAACTACACAACCAACACTTCTCTTTCCAGAAAAATACCTGTTTATTTCTTAAAGTCAGTTCTGAATAGTGAGTCCATTTGATTTTTTTTTCATCCTTGGCTTAGCTACATTTACTTTTGTCTCACTACTTTAATGGATTAGTCAGACGTGGTTTTCCTCTATACTCAATAAATGTTTGCTGAATGAAGGAATAAATTACAGAGAACATATTCTCTCTTTTCTAGCAAATTATCTGCTAAAATAATCGGTGATTCTAGTCTTCATTATAGATTTCCCTGTGTAAAATTGTTAATATCTGTGGTTTTCTCAGTTTCTCTGGAATTCATCCAATGGATTGGATTTTAAGGGAGTATGAAGTACCATTATCATGCAAATTCACTGGGCCTCTAGGAAAGTGGCTCTATCATACTTTATTTTCTCAAGCCCTAGAATTTACTCCCAGCATCTTGATTACTTGTTGACTCTCTAGATTGTAATGTTTAATACTGCTATCTCCCACATGGATCTTAATGATCTCATGGGATCAGTCTTGGCTGTCCACCAATCGTGGATTGAGCATATCACCCATTGTTGATTTTTAGTACTGACCATGAATGTCTTTCCTTATCATTTCTACCCATGTGTGATAATAATCACATGAATTGTGGGGCGGGGTGTCTTTCTTAAATAGTGAAAATATTGATTCAATGGTCACTGTTGATCACTATTGTAAAAGAGCTTATTCACAATTACTTGTACTAGTTCGTCAATACTTGATACCAGGTGTGGTGTGTTTCTTTTCTTTGTATGTTCTAAGCTACCTCTTCTAAGAAGCAGTCCTCTATCCTAACTAAAGCCACGTCTCTAAAATGAGATCTTTTGTATTCTATACATCTTCCACCAATTTGTTTCTGCCTTGTGTACCATCAGTTTTCCATCTGTATATTTGGTACACAGAAGGTGCTCACATAGTTTTTGAACTATTGAGTGGATGAAATAGACGTTTTTGTTTATATTCTGATTTGATAAATTATGTAATCTTAATTTTCTGTTTCTTCTCAAAGTACCAGTTTACTTCCAATTAAGTACTCTAAGCACTGTAGACTCTAACTTCGGCAAGAGAAACCAATTTGAAGAACCATCCAAAGAACCTTAGAATCATTTCCGAGTTTCTTAAAGAGAAAACATACCTCTCTGGTATAAGCTCATTGAAGAAAATGAGAAGAAGGAAATGATGCAGTCATTTCCTGGAAGGATGTCAGAGAAAACAAGTCTCTGTTCCTATTCTGCCTTAGTTGTCTCCTGCATAACAAACATTATTCAAATTGAGACAATGTTGGGAAATCCCACTGGCCTTCTCATCCTTTCATCCTCAGGGCTCTTCTCAAGCTCATATCTGCTTTAGAGGTGCCTCCCTTTCCACTTAGCCTGCTCTTTTTCATTTTTCTGAGCTTTCAGAATCCTGAAACCCCTTGCCTTTGGAATAGGACACTATCTTGGTGTCCTTTATCCTTCTTGCCCTAGTAAATCTCACACAGGCCTTTTCCTTTTTGGAGGCTTTAAAGACTAACCACTTTGGGAAAACAGGCAGAGGTGAGACTAGCACCTTCCTGTCTGGGCTGGAATATTCTTTTCGAGTTTCAGACTATTTTTTTCCTATCTCTACTTATCTCCTTTACTACCTCCAGGAGTGTCTTTGGCACCAGAACTTGGAAATCTCATGCTTCCCCACAGGGTGTTTTATAAAATGCATTAATTGGCTTATTAATTTATGTATTTCTTCATATTCCAAAATCTGGTATCAGGGATGCCTTTAGCCACAGAACATTTTGAGAGATCTGAAATGGTGGACATACCTTTATCATAACAGGTGCCCAAATTCAGTTTCAGTAAGAAGAATAACCTGATCTTTTAAAATGTCTAAAGTTGGGATACCCCAGAGTTCATATGTTGGACCCCGCCCCACATTTCCTAAGAGCTTGCCCATTTTCATGACTTTAAATACTACCTTTCTAGTGTTAATAACTCCCAAATATACATATCTAGTCCCCACTCACAGTAATTTCTGATTTTCTATTGGATATGTCCAGTTATTTCCATAGACACTTTAAATTTATGTCCAAATACAAACTCTTGATTTCCCATAATCTGAATTTTTTTTCTCCTCTAACATTCCTTATCTCACTAACCTGGTTGCAGAGACCAAAAACTTTGAGTCTTTCTCTTACAGGCCTCATCCAACCCTTCAGCAAGTTCTAGTGGATACTCTTTAAAATATATCTCAAATATGTCCACATATCATTTCTCCCAGCATTACTGTTCTGGTTCAAGTCATCGTCTTCTTCTACTGCAGTAGCCTTTTAATGGTCTTTTTTCTTCCACTTTTGCCCTGCCCCTCTTTAAAACATAAATTAGTTTGTAATTCTCTGCTGTATATACCCCACTAGCTTCTCATCAACAAGGTCCAATCTGTGACTCTTGACTATGTCTCTACCTTTTTCCTCTGTGAATATTCCTCTCCCCTATTTCCCTCCAGAGGTACTGGCCTAGTTTTCTTCAGTCACTCAGATACATTCAAACCTGAGTTTTTGCATTTACTGTTTGCCTTGAACTCCCTTTCTGCAATCATTTGTATGGTTTGTTCCTTCTCTTATTTGGATCTGTACTCAAATGTCATTTCCTCTTGGAGGCTGTTATTTCTTTAATTAATCATCCTGTTTAAAATAGCATTCTCCTAAAAATTCTGAACTTACTGTGTTTTTCCTCCTTGGTTCTTATCACTATCTAATACTATATTATCTATGTCCACACTCAAATGAGGACAGAGAAGGTAAGGGCATTGTCAGTTTTGTTCATTACTCTATCCTTAGCACTCAGAACAGTGCCTGGCTCATAACAGTGTGCTAAATTTATATATATATCTGTAGGTGAATGAATGAATATATGGATAAGTGACTGAACTTAGACTTTGAGAAAGATTCTGAAGGAATGTTCAAGACCCACAGTGCCCAAGTAGTGCCCAAGTGCTCTTATCTCCATGTGCAGATGGATTATCTAATGAAGAGTTAGTTTTGATTTTTTTCTCCAAATATATATTGAGCACCTACTGTATGCCTGGCGTTATACTAGGCATTAATGATACAAAGATAAACATAACCTAACCAATGTGCATAAGAAAGTAGGAGTCAATGAATAATTAGGAAAAGAAGTGCTTAGAAGTATAAGATATAAATTTTTAGTAGATAAAAATTAACAGAAAAGGATAGGTGTAACTCAGTCATGGAGCAGTTGCCTAGCATGCATGAGGCCCTGGATTCAATCCCCAGCACTGAAAAAAAAAGAAGGGGAGAAGAATCTGTTGAGAGAGGAAGCTAGATATGAAAGATGATCCTAAAATTGCCTGAGAAGGGAAAATTTGGGAAGTGAAGACCACATGCTGTTTTGCTGTGAGGAATTCCCATAGGGATTTTGTCAGCATTTGCCATCAAGACATCATGCATGGATGCATGTAATTCAGTGGAGATTAATTAATTTGTGAAGTATTTTGAAACTCCTGGAACAAATGTGCCTTCTCTTACTAGTCTCTGAAACTCATAACAGTGATTAAGTCTTCTTTCCCTGCCTGCCTTAGCTCTTATAGAAGTATTAACATGAAATAAGATAGTGCATCTGTTGGTAAGGACAAAGATTCTAACACTGTATATAAAGGGACCCCCTTCAGTTTCTTTTCTGATTCATACACTTGAAATCTGTTGGGCAGTGGTAGAATAGTAGGCTTTCTTTCTAGAACTCTGGTCCCTGGTGCTGCTTGTCTTTCACACGGGTCTAAATATGTCTTAACATGGAATCATCCTCTCTAGCTAGGACACGAAGCCTAGGTGGGTGGGGAATTCCCCTGTTTTATTTAAATCATAGTTTTCTTTTCGTTTGGCTAGCATATTCATGATTAGTTTACTGACAATTGGGTTTTTTTTCTTCTTATACCATATGCTATTCCATGATTCATCAGCTTTGAGTCTGTTGCCTTGAAGGTGAAACAATTTCTTCCAATGTTGATATTTCAAAATCTCATGGATAACAAGCAGACGCATATGCATAGTCCTTTCAGAAGTTTTAAACATTTGGAGATGAATGAATTATGCTGCCACAAATGGAAAGAAGCAGTATAATCTTATAATTTTGATATCCAGTCATCTTTTGTTGGGTGATTGCTTGAACACTGATTTTGATAAAATCTGGAAGCTTTATTATATTATTCTCTCCTTGTGAAATTGTTTATGGTAGGTGTTATTATTTTTAAAATTTAGAATTTTACTTAATTGCCTTGATTTACATGCATTATGTTAGACTGACAAGATTTTTATTTTTGGAAATGAATAGGATTTAAATTCCAAATAAATCAACATTAGCTGTTTATATTGTAATAGTGGCTTCTTTTATATATGTAATGTATAACAATGACTGTTCAAACCTGAAGAAATATTCTTTTGGTATCTGATACAGAAAACATTTCAAATATTTTAGTAGAATATACTATGTTTTATGAAAGCAAAACAAAACAGTTATTTCTGCCTGAACATTACATATTTAGAAGATTAAGCTTCTAATAAACATACACTAAGATTTCTGCATATAGCTTTAATCAATGTACTTAGTGTTTTGCATCATTTAGCCACCTGTCTCTTTTTTACTAAGAATGTCTGTGATTATTTTTCAGTGAACAAAACTTCATGATTTCATGATGTAAATAACTGTATAAGTTTTACATTTGGAGAAAGATTTTTAAGATTCTAATTCTTAGCATGTCTTCCTCTCTCCTCCTTACCTGATTTTAGCTCCTCTTTGGTTCAGGTGTGCTGGTGTCCCTAAGTCTTTCTGGGCCGCAGCTGGAGAAAGTGGTGATTGACAGAAGCCTGGTGGGGAAGCTCATCTCAGACACCATCAGTGATGGTAATTACCCCCATGTGCAAATCAATTGCCTACATTAACAGTGGGGCAGGAGAAATAGTGTGTCAACAGGTAGACTAATTATTACCACTGGGGACTTGCAAACACAACAAGTAATTGCTTGTAATAGCATACTTACAACCCCTGGGACCAATACAAGTTTGAACTAATATTAAATATCAATGTTTTTTTCTTGTCAAGTGTTAGACTCATATTCTGAGTATTTTTCAGTCTTCCTTTAAAAAAACAAAACCTTATTTTTAAAATAGGTTTTTTTCTATTCTTTCAAAATTATTCCTCTGTTACTGACATTTCAAATATTTTCATATCGAAATTAATTTTGAATAAATAACACAAATATGTCTACACAGCCACCAGTTGAAAAAAGATCATAAGTGCTTTGGCTCTTACAGAAAGATTCTTTGTTATTAAAACCTATGAATACTATATTTTGGGAGATGTGAGGCTATATTTTCTAAGTATTAAAAATCAGTGCTATTCTGGGAGTGTAGCTCATTGATCAAGTATTTGTGTAGCATGCATGAGGCCTTGGTTTTAATCCCCAGCACCACAAATAAAAAAGAAAGATCAGTACCAAAAATACTGGATAAATCTGGTTCTATTAAATGGCACCACAAGTGTATGTATCGTTGGTACAAAGCACAAAAAAAGATTTTAAGCTACTTATTGAATAGGAAGGTTAACTGACATTTATTAAGTCATAAAAGCTCAGTGATAGGTGCCAACCCACCTATATCATTTAATCCAAGAAAATAACCATATAAGATATAGTTATTTCCATTTTTATTAGATGAGGACCCTGAAGTTGAGCTACTCAGGAATATGCCCAGACTTACAGAGCTAGAGAATAACTGAGCTAAGATTTGAACACAGGTTCTGACTACAGTGCTCATTTTTTTTCCATAACACTATGCTAACTCCTGAATTTTTTATGATGATGTTCTTTCATTCAAAGTAAATGGTCTAAAAACAGTTTGTATCATCATGAAAGGTTAAAATGGTTAGTATCTTAAATTGAATAATCAAAGGAAAATGTAGTCTAGGGGAGGAGAGGACAGAGGTGAGAATAAAAAAACCTTCTGTCCACTGTGTGCTCTCTGAACAAATCAGACACAATCACGTCACCTTAAAAAATAAATACTCTTAACCAGCACGGTGGCACATTCCCATAATCCAAGCAGCTCCGGAGCCCAAGGCAGGAGGATTTTGAGTTCAAAGCCAGCTTCAGCAAAAGCAAGGCGCTAAGCAACTCAATGAGACCCTGTGTCTAAATAAAATACAAAATAGGACTGGGGATGTGGCTCAGTAGTCGAGTGCCCCTGAGTTCAAGCCCCAGTACTAGGAAAAAAAAAAAAAAGCACTCTGCAGGATTGCTGTAATTAGCAACATTACTGATAACAAGAAAAAGATTGTAAGCATGCCATTTCCCCTTCCTTGTAGGAATATGGTGCTGAGGAAGCTTCCCTGTGGAAGAGGTTCCATTTTCATATTCTAATAAAAGAACATTGCAAATGAAATTGTGGCTGTGATGATTTTGTCATATTGATGCTCCTCTGTAAGAATTAAAAGGAGACTTCCAATACTATTCATGTCTTTGAGTTATCTTTTTTTCACTTGTTTCTTTTATTTGTACCCAAAATAATACACTCTCATGGGACTATGATAACAATGTGATTTCTTGGCAGTTCTCCAGATTCTCCTGTAATTGTGTAGATACACTGTTGGTCACTGCTTGAATGGCCAGGGGTATAAAAATACAAAAAAAAAAATTATAAAACATTCAATAATTTTTTATGCTAGGAATAACACGAAACATTCCTCAGGTTCCTATTATATATTTTAATCCTAATTTCATATACCATTAATGGTTGTTTATATAACCCTGCTATTAATTATCTATCTACTTGTATGCTTTAGAAATGAAGCTGTGGATGTGTTTTTGCTAATCTTCATTATTAAATACTAACTTAATATTCATTCTGGATATTTTCATGCAAGCTGTTAACCCTCAAAAGAAGGATCACTAATGAAAATTTTAAAAAGAGATTGGTAGAGAACACTGATTGGTAGTATCCCTTAATCAGTCCACTTATTTTTAGATGGTTTGTGGTATATGAACATAGAATTAGAGTCTAAGCACAAATGAAAATAAATGTTGTTTTTCCATCATCACATTCAGGTGTGAAATAGTCTTTCTTTTATGCTTTTCTAGTCTTGGTTCCACATATGTATCATTTAGAGTGATCTCCAAACATCAGTGTATATTGAAATAGTCATAAGAAAAAGGGGAAGACACCAAATCCATATGAATAGATTGACAGTTATCATTCATTTTTAATATGTTCAATATCCTTGTAAAACATCATGCTATTTAGGAGACATTAGTGATTTCAATTATATTTATCTTCTGAAAATAGATTTTGTTATAGTATTTCAGTGAAAAACATCTGTTATATTCATTATAATTTTATTCTAACTGGTATTATCAAACCTTTTTTTTTAAGCTCTTCTCACAGACAGCTTCATCATCTTATCATTTTTGGTGCAGAACAAACTATGTTTTATTCAGTTTTCCAAGAAGATGGATTCTCCTGATATAAACAAAAGATTGGAAAAACTCTCAGCCTTAGATTACAAGGTAGAGATTTCAATGTGTATAGTCATATTATTAGTTCTTAAGGCATACTAGAGTATTACATGAATTGATGTTATGTTTATTTTCCTTGAACCTTTCAAGATTTCAGAAAAACCAGAATTATTGTAGGATTAAGCTTTATTCATATAAACAGTGGACATCCTAACTTTTCTTTTTCACTCTATGAAGAGAAGGAGGTCCTTAACACTGGCATATTTGGAGCAGTTTTTATAGTACTTATGGAAGTCAAAGGCAAGTTACACTTTTGAAAATGGTTTTCTTGCCAGCAGCAATATACACACCAATCTCATTTTCCCCTAAGAACTCATATAGCTGCTATGATTTCCATTTCACAAGAAACAAAACATAAAACAACAATACCAGCCCCACCAACAACAAAACACATTTAAAAATAAAAGGCTTATCAAGTACTTTATGTTTATTAACGCAAGATTTTTATTTTAAGTGATATGTTTAAATTTTTTCATATTACATTTTAACCGCTGGGAAGACATACTCTCTGCTAGGATGGGTATCTAATACATTTTCCAGGCTGTTTCAGTTCAAGGCCTCTTTTCAGCAATGACTTGTGTTTGCAAGATTGATCCAGCCTCTGTGTCATGGATTTGAGACAGTTCACTGTTCATTGGGAACACAGCTGATATACAGCTTCCTTAAGAAAGATGCACACTTATGTCATACCTAGAGTATTTATAGCAAAGACAAAGATTTTTAGAAGCTAGCTCTGTGTCTGAAATTTGTGTATTTTTAGAAAAGTTGTATTTTACTGAGCTTTTTGCCATTTGGGATTATTATTTATTATGATTGACTTGGTAGTAGTATGGGGATTGTTTAGTAAAAGCATCTATTATTTAATAAAATTTTGGGGCATAGACTAAAGTACATGAAGCAAGGTTTTCATTATGGTTTAACTACAGTCTGGTTTTGTTTGTCAGCTTTGTGGTGCTTCTATAAAACTTTATGTAATATTGATTTTCTTCAATTGAAAAATCAGTGATACATATTAGATTTGGTTAGTCAAAAATATAATTTCCTTTAGCATTCTTAAAATGATGTTATTTTCTAAACAGCTACCTGTAGATTTATTTGAAATATTTTTTACTTACTGATATTGGCCTTTAAAATATGCCAGTATGCATTAACTGAAAACATTTAAAGTAAGTGTTGTTAATGATGTTATATAAAATTTTGTATGATTGTTTCTTCATCTTAGGTTTGATGAGTAGCTTGGTTAAGTCTTCTCAACTGATAGATAAATAGCTCCCTGATAATGAGGACAGAGAAAAACTATCAGGTTATCAGTTTTCCTTATGAAAATATGTGGAAAATAGACCTAGTCTTTGGGTTATTATACCTTAAACAGGCAATTAATTTTTTTACTCTTTATGCTTTTGGATTTGGAAAATTAGGAACATGGACTCTCCACATTATTTCTATACCTTTGAGAAGTAATCTCTTTCCCTTTGGAAAACCCATGAATTTCACTTCATATTTTAATATTTAAAATATAAATATATGAATAATTATATCCATTCAAAGGATATTTTAAGAAATTTGTTTATTATGACAGGATGCTAATAACTCCTGATCATGACAAACTACTAATACCATTAATATTCATAGGAAATGTGAAATTTCAGATAATTGATTTGCTTTATGTAAGAACTGAAAATGCCAGTCACTCATTTTAACTCTATTCTCTTGTCTAGAAATTTTTAAATAACATGCTTACATGGCAAGTTGTACATCAAAATAGAATGTGTGTGTATTTGTAAGTACTTAGCAATTCCAAAGTGGTATTTCTCTTAAGTATGAAGTTAATATACTGAGAACTTAAATATAGAAATTTGCACTTAAAAGCACAAGGTACACCTGTGTTTTGTCCTTGCCCAGTTGGATTTTAAATCAAGGAAGTGATAATAGAGAGTATTATAATTCTGCTTTTCTTCACAACTGTGCCATAATTTAATTATTTCAGATTGAAATAATTTTGGCAAAGGAAATTTCAGGGTAAATATTCCTGAAACTGTTGACCTTTAACAAGTTTTCCTGTCTATATTTTAAAAATCCAATTCAATTTAACATTGAAGGGACAGTGTAGGGAGTTAAATGTTTACCATGAGAGAACAACACTGGTAATTACTTTGATTTCAGTTTCTTTTGATGTGCATTCAGAGGATGAAGAGGTCAATAATATTATGGCCATGCAAATAGAAAAGGGTTCCTTTTGACCATATTGAAAAAAAATAGCAGAGGATTATTAAAGCATTAACCTTGATTTTAATGGCCTTGGTTGAGTGGTGAGATCACAATTTGGATGAGCCTGATTATTTACTAAATACAATACATAAATGCAACGGGTTCTTAACACCCATTGCACTCTGGCATTATCGCATTACTGCCATCCTTTGTTGCCTTGCAGACAGGAATATGAAAGCAATCTGTCATGTAGTGAGACTGGCTCCAGAAGCATTTCTCTGATAAGAAGACCCCCTGCCCTTTGCTAGTGTCTGGTCCAGTAGGCTTAGCCATGCGCTTAATCCCCAGAAAGTGGTTCGATTATTGCTGACCAGCAATGGCAAGATAGTTTTTTTTTCTTCCAAGCTATCAACCTTCCATTAATTCCTTAAGCAGAAATACGGTGCAATCTATATTTCCTTGGCATGTGTCACCCAGATGGTGCCGTGCTTATGTTTTCAAATAACCATGTTCCAAAATAACATAGTTTGAATAATAAATTCTACAAATCCTTCCTAAGAAAGAGGAGCATAATTCTCAGAAGCTGCATAAACTTTTACGCATGATGCTGTGGCTTATCCCTTTTATGCAGAATATATGTGTATATGTCTCGTATATTCTTTAAAGAGATATTTGCCTCAAGTTGTTTTTCCTTTTATTGTTGTCAGTCATTGTTAACATGTTATGTCTTAAACAGTAGTTCGACACTCTTGGTCAGCAGTACTGAACTTGTCATTTAATACAGCTGGTCTTAAATCCTATGTGTAGGTCGATGCTGTCAAGCAACCATGACTGTACATTTTGGTATTGATTGGAATTGCTACATTCAATTCCTTCCTAACTCACATTTCTTCTTTTCCTTTCCTCTGCTAAAAATGGGGAGAATTTGAACATATGTCTTTTTTATATATGTGTCAAAAGAATTTGGTAAATTCTGACACTTTCTTAAGCACATGTTTAACATGCATATTTACTTGCATGTATTTACATTTACAGATGCTTTAATTTTAGTAATACTTCAAAGATTTTGCATCTTTTAAAAAGAAATGTTTCTTGTATTCTTTTTTTTTTTTAACTATTAGATTTCCTATTATGAATTACCTGGTCCAGTAAACAGGACAGCAGAGCGTCGTCTAGCTATCAATTGTATTCAGGATATGGTTGTTTGCTGGTGGCCACTGGTCAGTGATGATGCTTGGCCTTGGGCCCCAATTTCTTCAGAGAAGGACAGAGCCAATCTTCTGATCCTGGGTTATACTCAAGGAAAACTGGAGGTAAATTTAAAATAAATATATATCTCTTAATGAAGTGCAAGTAAAATAGTGTTATTAGTTTTGCTGTTCTGAGAAAAATATGAATATTGTCTTAAACCTATTGTTTATTTTCAAATACTCAAGAAAGGAAATTACATATGAAATGAAATCTTAAAAAAGTATGAGAGCTAGAGGATAAATGGACAATTCCAAGGCTGACTGGAATACTGTAATGATTAAAAACACAGGCTTCTAGGTTCAAATCTAGCTCTTCTACTACTTAGCTGTATGTGCTTGAGCAAGTTACTAACCTCTATGTGCTGTAGTTTCATTATTTGAAAAATAAGTAAATATAGATGAATAAGTTAATACATGCATTTAGAGTAGTACTTATATACAGTAAACTCTGAATCACTATTCACTATTGTCATTATCATTAGTACTATCCTACAATTTGTTCATTATTTCATAACTATGAAAGTTATGTTACCAGTTACTCTCTTCAGACTTCAATCAGTCAATTAACAAACATTAGTCAAATGCCTATTTTGTATAAGGCCTTGTGATGCCAAATGACCAGTGGGATGAGAAGATGTAAGAAAAGCTATAAAGCAGCAGCCTTCTCATTGCAGTATCCTGTCTCTAACAGAAGCACCAAAAACGTTAATCTACCAGGAGAGGACAAAATCCCCACTCTATTCCTGACAATGGTTTATTCATTCACTCTTGTAAGAAAACCTGTGTGTATTTTCAGTTTGTACCTATACTTTGAATACAGAATTCTCTGTTTATCTTTTTTTATAACTTGTAAAAAAGAGCTCTCCCTCCCTTTTTGTTCAAGTTTTATCTGGGTGAAATGGTGTGTTCCTTTATTTTCCTCTAAATCTGTTATCTTTTAGACTTCTGAAGAGTATTTCTCAGAATTAGTATTCTGAGATAACATGAACAAGTCTATTTTCTCTATCTACCTCTCTGATTTTATAAACTGGGAGACTGGCTTTTAAGACCAAAGAGTCCTAATATTTTATCCATAGTATTTATGCATGTCTTCCTTAGGAATCTTCTCAATCTGCTATAGAGAATTTGATTACTTTTTCTAGAATTTTTCCAATTCGGTTGTAATGACTAAAATCACTGAGAGTGCTTCAGATGTGGATTTTATGGGACAGAGCAAGTGCTGGTTCCCTGCACATCCTGTCTGTGTCCACCATTTTATTGATTTGGGTTCAGAAGCTCCTTGAGTAAAAGTCTTCATAAACATGATTTAAAGTAATTAAGCTAATTAGAATTCCATTAAATGTTCTGTATATAATAAAAGTGAAAACAATTAAATCAGCCTTTAGTTATACACTTTACAAATTACCTTCATTTGAAATGAGTGCACAGAATGAAATTAGGGTTGTCTAAAAGCATGTTCATATGGCCTGTGTCCCTCATTACCTGATGTCATCTACATCATAGACATCAGAGTTGAACAGATCTGGGTTTGTCTGTTGATTACACCATTGGCTAACTATAACCTTAATCAAGTTTATGCCTCTAAACTTCTTCCTGCCTTTTGCTAATTCTGTGTTCTGTGGCTTTAGGTAGATCACCTACCCTGGCTGACTCTAGTTTTCTTATTTTTAAAGTGATAGATTTAAACCAGATAGGTCACCTCCAGGTCCCTGACAGTTCAAAAATGTGCTTATCTGGATTCTGAAGCACAGATCTTGTTTAGCCATTGCCTGTTCAAATGACTTCAGTAGATGCTGAAACTAAATTCAGCCTCAACACTGAAAAGCCTGTGATGACTGGCCTTGACCTACTTTCCCAGTGTTCTTTTCTTATATAAATGTATGCTCTAGCCAGATGAATTACTTACTGCTTCATTATTTCCCATTACCTGCATGCGCACATTAATGGTTTTTCCTACCTGAAAAAGCTATGTCATTCAGCAACTATTGAGTATGACTGTAAGTAGATACTGTATTTCATACCAGGAGATATGATTAAGAAACTATCCTGCCTGCAGTGATCTTAGTGTCCACTAGTGAGAGAAAAAGTGTGAATGTGCTGTGGATAGAGTATGTGTAAACTGAAATTCAAACCACAAGGAGTTATTTATTCTGATCAGATGATAGGGAGGGGGAGTTAAAAAGACTTGAGTACCAAAAAGAATTATCTGATACTGAGTTTTCAGTAAAACTTACCTGTTAAATTACATGGGTATGATGTCTTTTAAGGAGGATACAGTTTTTCATTACTGATCCATATTTAGAGTTTATTGTTTCTATTTTTTCCTGAGTTGTTTTCCATAATTTATATTTCTATAAAATTAAACTTTTTATATAAGTATTCAGATATATTTGCGTAAGGTTGTATATGATATTTTTGCATGATTTTTTTTTTAACTGCTAGGGATTAAACCCAGGGACTCAAACATGCTAGGCAAATGCTTTACCACTAAGCTACATCCCAGCCCACACATGATTTTTTTTTATTCACAATCATTGTATAATGTCCCCTTTTGACTCCAAATCTATTAAGTATATAATTATTTTCTTTCTGTAGCAAGGGCATTTATTTTAGAATATGACCCTTTCAGCTATTCTATCAAAATTAGCCTGCTGGGAAAATTTGTAAAGATATCTTTTTCAAAAATGTATTTGAACTTCAGTATGCCAAAAATGAATATTTTTTGGAAAAAAAATTATTTTCTCGGAAAATAATTGTTTTACTTTGTGTGTGTATGAAGATATAATCTTTAACTATGAAGTAGAGCATTTTTTTTTCCTTGAAACTATCATGAATTAAAACCACCAGTCTATTATAGTAGTTTTCACTAGTAGTAGGGGACTTCTTGAACTAATCACCAGAATAAAGATACAGTGTGCTTTTATACCCTAAAATTCAAACTTTTTTTTTTTTTTTAAAGAGCAGTGTAGAGAAGAAATTTAATTTTTGGATCTGTTAAAGTATGGGTTTTAAAAAAGCATTTCCCGTGTGGTTTTAATCAGTAAAGATAATAAGTTTTTATTTGGCAGGTTCCTAGAATAGTAGTTCCTAGCCTTGACAATATATTACAATCACCTCAGAGAGGATCCACCCAGACTAGTTCCCTCAGGATCTCTGGATAGGAGGGGCCTTCATAATCTTTTCCGGGTTTCCTTGGTGATTCTCCTGGGTATTCAAGTTGAGGCCCACTGCTTTATAGCAAACTTAAAAAAAAAAATTAGAGTTATCTTTTTTGCATAACATACCATGGAAAGGATAAAGCCCACATACTGAACCAAATAAGAGTTTTAACAGTAGATTCTAAGTAGAAAATTGGCTTACCAAGCAGCTAAAAAAAGAAAAAGAAAACAAAGGAGACAGAAATAAGCTTTCTGTGACTGAATTATCTGTGTTTCAGAGGAGAAACAGTTTTTAATTTATTTTATGGATATTAAAAAACTGCTGGTCTAATTTCACACCACAGAGCTCTAAATAACAGTCCATATCTTAATTAAAAGCATTAAGAACAGAGGTAGTTATTTAGTCTAAGAAAAAAAAATTCTTTTGAAAAATATACAGTATATAGTGTGGAAAAAAATTGTTTGTTTTTTGGTATTGGGAATTGAATCCAAGAGTGCTCTACCACTCAGCTCTTTTTTAAAATTTTATTTTGAAATAGAGTCTCACTAAGTTGCCCAGGCTGGTCTTGAACTGTGATCCTCCTGCCTCTGCTTCCCAAGCTGGAATTACAGGCATTCACCACCAATTCTGGCTAGAAAAATAAATTTTTATCAGCAAATTCATTTAAAATTTATTTTAATGGAGTATATGTACATTATTATATATAATATGATAGTCATTTTCACATATGCTTTTTTTTAAGGTACTGGGGATTGAACCCAGGGGCACTGTATCACTGTGTGACATCCCCAGGCTTTTTTTTTTTTTTTTTTTTTTACTTTATTTTGAGATAGGGTCTCTGTAGTTTGTCTAGGCTGGCCTTGAATTTGTGATCCTCCTTCCTCAGCCTCTTGAGTAACTGGGATTACAGGCAAATACTACTGCGCCCTGTTCCATATACTCTTTATACTTCTTTTTAAAAAGTTATCACCATTTTCCTAGAACTATCTTTTTCATTCACTTTGACAATAATGTGATGACAACTTATTCTTCCCTTTTATATTTGAGCAGGTATTTTAACTTTTTAGATGTGTGGATGATAATACTTTCTGAGTATGGTGTAATTTCATAATATCTTACTCAGAAAAGATAAACTGTATTTGTTGACCAAATTAATCCAAAACACATCAGCAGACCTTTTAAACTTTAAAACTGTTGTCAGGATTATGGAAATATAACCTCACAAAAATACTTTTTCCGGGGCTGGGGATGTGGCTGAAGCGGTAGCGCGCTCGCGTATGGGCATGCGTGCGGCCCGGTTCGATCCTCAGCACCACATACAAACGAAGATGCTGTGTCCCCCGAAAAAAACTAAAAAATAAATATTAAAACTCTCTCTCTCTCTCTCTTTCTCAAAAAATATTAAAAAAATACTTTTTCCACATAAAAATTAAACACTGTTATTTCTGTGATTTTTAGAAACAATGACAAATGGAAAAGTAATAATGTGACCAACTGTTAAGATAATAAAATTAGACAAAGGAGGCATTTAAAAACCATTACAGATATGTTCAAATGAAAAGCCAAAATATTTAAGAAACATCTCTTCCAAAGAAATGTCATGTACTGTGTCAGCTTTTAGCCAAATGACAAAGGTATTCTGTTTTACGATTTTTTTTCTAAAAGCTGTTTATTATAAAATAAAACACACATAAAGAAAAACACAAAATAAGTTTCTAGCTTAACAAGCTATTATTAGGGGAACCTTTGAGTTGAGAAATAGGATTGTGTGGTACTCTGGTGTAATTCCATGTGTCACAATCTTAACCCCTTCTCCTTCCCTAGAAGTCACTACCATCATGGTTATTAATCATTTCCTTGTATACCCATATAGTTTTTAGTTTTATCACCCAAGTGAATCCCCA